CAATGTCTGATTAGTTTTACCATTAAGCGATGAAACAAGTTTGCTATCCAAGTGACCACATGGATGAAGTGGACGGTTGCATTCATAGTTATATTTTCATTGATGAAAGTGACTTTCTTATTCTTTCTTTTATTGACGATGAACATTCGATTTTAAATTAGCAAATTTTTCAAGGGAAGCACCAACAGCTTCAACTATTTTTCCTTCAATAGCCATTATGCCTCTAACGCTTAGGTGTAAGCGATTGGACACTTCAGTAAACTATTTAGTTAGAGTCTTTGGATTTAACTGAGAAATAAGGGTTGGTGATCTTTTTTTTTTGGTGATCGGTAAAATTTGTCATCTTTTAAGCTTTTTGTGTTTTCATCATCCTTGCTAAGAATTATTTCAACTTCTTAACTTGTAATAATAACTGCTCTCTGCTGTTCCAGACGTTCAACGCGATCATCTACTTTTCTCTCTCTTTGGTTTAAAATAGTAATTAGGCGCGAAAACTATAATTTACTCAAATTAGGTAACTAATAACCCCTAAATAATGTTTGATTGTCCCAAAATTTTACAACAATTATTTTTTAATCATTTTAAACCAAACCCTTAGTCGATGTAGCAGCATTCCCTTGCGAATCAGGCTATTTGTCAGTCGATGTAGCAGCACTTTATTGTGAATCAGGCTATTTGCCAGTTCATGTAACAGCATGCCGTTGTAAGATAGTTGATGTAGCAACACTCTGCGTATGTTTTACAGTTAAAAAGTAAAAATGTTTTTATTTTTTTAAAATAAAGTAAAATGTTAAAATAAAATTTTATTTTTAAAAAATAAAAACAGAATGTTTTTTTTTTTTTTTTTTTATTTTACTTCACCTCCTCAAGGCCGAGAAGGCCACTACAAACGAGGAGGCTACTTATTTTGTGGCTATAACCCTCTCTCAACTCTATAACTCCGAAACACGAACCTTGACGAACAAGGCCGCTGCGCGGAGAAACGAGTTGAGCGCGGTACTACCAGGGACGTGGTGGGGATCGAACTCGGAACCACTCGTTTATGAAGCGAGCGCTCTACCACTACACCACTACCGCATTAAATTTAATATGTGTGTGTGTGTATATATATATATATATATATATATATATATATATATATATATATATATATATATATATATATATATATATATATATATATGTATATATATATATATATATATATATATATATATATATATATATATATATATATATATATATATATATATACACACACACACACATATATAATATAAATAATTAATATTTCAAGTAGAATATATATATATATATATATATATATATATATATATATATATATATATATATATATATATATATATAATTAAATTACAGGAAGTCACATGTCTTAACTACTGCAATTTTTCACACATTTGTGTAATTTACTGACACTATTGTAAAAAGAATTCTTTAGAAATGATTACTTAAGCTTTTTTTAAAAATAATATTTTTTTCAAAGGGGAGTTAATGTAACTATTATTTGAGCTCACTTATTTTTATAGTTTTTTAGGAGAAACTTATTTTCGTGCCTGCATTTAGAAATCAATTCCGATTTTTTGTTTAATAAACATTCTTGGTTTGTATGTGTAATTATTTCAAATTTTTCTTGTAGACATAGTATGCATTTTTTGGAAATATTGTTATATGCAGGCACTGTTTTAAGGATGGACCAATTCAGTGTAAAATCATCAATATTTTTATCTTTTAAATCCCATATATATTTTGACAGCATGGTGTCTTTTGAATACTTTTTATTTTAAAAAGATTGCTTATGATTGGCAAAACGTTTTTTCCATTCACCTTCTGTTATGCCAATATATTGTTTATCAGGTACATTCTTAGAGGAGACAAAACATTTTTATACCACATTTTTTGATAAGCAACTTCCACTCATTGGACAATTGTTTTTTTGTTTACAATTACAATTTTCTGTAGTTTTTTCATTTTGGATTTCTTTTTTGTTTAACAAAGCATTGTTGTGACCTTTTATAATTCTTTCCATATTTTTCGTGCAACTGTAGCTAACTTTAATAGTATTTCGATTAAAAATTTTATGTAATTTATTAGAGGGCGGGAAATGCTTATCGATCAATTTTAAAAACACTTTTCCTATGTTTGTGGAAACATTTTTGCTATATGGGGGGTTGAACCAAATTACATTTCTAGTTCTATTTCGCTTTTTTGTATTCTTTTTTTCAGGGTCAAATTTTAATTCAAAGTTTTCAAAACCACTTTTTTTAAGGGCATCTTCAAATATCTGTTTGGAGGAATTGAATACATTTTCATTAGAGGAGTTTTGGTTAAGCCTGTTATTAATTGAAATCGGGATTTGTTTTAGAATTTGGGGTGGATGATTTGAGTTAATATTAATATACAATAATTCATCGTTTGGTTTTTTGAAAGGCTCATATGTATTTTCCGAGAGGTTAAATGTGACATCAAGAAAGTTCACAATTTTTAAATTTATGTCTATTTCAATTTGAAAGCCAATATTTTAAAAAATTTTTATATCTTTTCTAATTTTATCAAGCTGTGGACCAGATTTTTTATGCATTACTATTAAACCATCGTCGCGATAAAGGCCTAAATCATTTATATTAATTATTTTACTTAATAAGTCTAAAATATATAATCCAACAAATTCACAAATTTCTGCTCCATCATAACTGCCCATTGTTACATCAAAGCAGTTATGTATGTTTTTTTTTTTCCAAGTTTCCTTATTAAAATAAAGTAAGGTTTTTCTACAATTTTTTTTATGCGAATTGTTTCTTCAGGAATAACTGTGTGGCTTTTTGCAAATTCAATTGTTTTATCTAAAATATCTGTAGTTATTGAGGGGTAAAAATCATTAATATCAAATTGAATAAATGTACAGTCATTTTTATTATCGATTATGGAGAACCAATTTATAACATCAGTGGTATTTTTCCACTGTTGCAAATTTAATTTATTTCTAAGAATATTATTAATTTTGTCCAATTTAATTTTGCTTACATGTCCAATCTCACTTTTTGAGCGAACCAATAACCTACAAGGAAGTTTGTTTTGAAAATTTGGTTTATGGTCTTTTAGTGTTACAAAGGCTTGGGCAGGAGCAGTTGATTCAATTCTGTTTTCAAAGCTTATATTTTTATATTCATACAAACCAAGAATGTTTATTAAACAAAAAATCGGAATATATATACATATATGTGTGTGTATATATATATATATATATACATATATATATATATATATATATATATATATATATATATATATATATATATATATATATATATATATATATATATATATATATATATATATATATATATGTATATATATATATATATATATATATATATATATATATATATATATATATATATATATATATATATATATACACACACATGTAATATAAATTATTTCAATTAGTTTATAGTGGAATTTAGGTGGCACTAAATATGTTATATATATATATATATATATATATATATATATATATATATATATATATATATATATATTGCATGCATGCATATATATATATATATATATATATATATATTGCATGCATGCATACATACATATATACATTCATACATTCATTCATACATACATACATACATACATACATACATACATACATACATACATACATACATACATACATAAACAACCTTTGGAATTAGGATCGGCGTTCAGCAATGCTGATCTAACTGCCAACCTAAAAGTGTTGATGTTATATGTTAACCTTTTTTCTATGTTTTATGGTAACCTCATTTCTATTTTTTATGGTAACCTCTTTGTGTCAATTTTCTTTTTGCTGACCTTATGCCGACCTCTAACAGTTTGAGATCATCAATAAATTGCTGACCTCATTTTTTTTAATTCCGAGGGTTGCATACATACATAGATAAATAGAGGATGGTAGATATTAGTCATGTAATACAAGGCAAAAAAAAGTCTTATTTTTAAATATGCTAACAGTCTCATTTTTAGCTGGGGCCCCGGATCCGGTCCTGGCTAAAAATGAGACTGTTTGCAAATCCGGCCCCGGCAAAATTATAAGATTTAGCATGGGTTGATAGCTGGAGCTTATAATTCTTTATATATATTTTAATTTTATACCTACATTTACTATTTATTGAGTTCTGGCATATATTTATGCCAGTACTTAATATATAGGGACAGATAAAGTAAAAGGATGCAGCTTGTTGAATAAGAAACCAAGCAAGAATGAGTTTTGGTTTATTGTAATAGAGATGATAGCTCATTTGAGCATTGACCATGATTAGAGAAACAGCATAAAAGAGGAAGGCTAAAACCTGCTGCTGATGATAATGGTGATAATGATGGTGATGATGATGATGATGATGATGATGATGATGATGATGATGATGATGATGATGATGATGATGATGATGATGACAATAATGATGATAATGATGATGATGATGATGACAATAATGATGATCATGATAATGATGATGATGATGATAATGATGATGATGATGACGATGATGATAATGATGATGATGATGATGATGATGATGATGATGATGATGATGATAATGATGAAGAAGAAAATGATTATGATGATCATGATGATGATAATCATTATAATTGCTTGCTTTTTATCTTTTACGTTAGCTGTTTAGCTTTTTATAATATTTTTAGTATTGAAATTTTATATTTGTTTTCTCAACAACAAAAATTTCAAATCATTGCATTTGTTTATTTATTATCTAAAAATATTAGAACTTTAAAACTTATTATTTTCAAACTTTAATTCAGTTAAAGTTGCTTTTTATCATTTATATTTCTTCATTATTCTGGTTTTCAGTTCTTATTATTCTTCGCCATTATTTTTTATAAATGAACTGATTTACTCCTAATTTAGCTTTTAATTCCACATTTTATATTTTTTACATTACATTTTATTTTACTTTTTTTTTCTTTTTTAGATGAAGAAGATTTTGAAAGTTGGTTTGTGCCAGAAGTTCGGATTAAGAAGTTTTTATCTGATCACCCAAAGTGTGATTTTTTTAGTATATCTATGTTAACTGGTGACAGTATTTCATCTGCTTTTGAGGCTGGTAAGATTTTGTGAGTATAGTTATTTGTTGCAAAAGAAAAAAATCTTGATTATATTCAATTATTCAAAATTATTCAGTTTGTGGACAGAAACTATTTGCTAGTTTTTTCTGACATTTTTATATGTGCTTTTAAACTTTAGCTGTTCTTAAAATGGCAGCCGTTGACAGTCCATCATTGGCTGTGGCAAGCACATTTATTTCCTCATTTAATGCATCTCCTGAGCGAGTCAGGTTGGGATCTATAAAAAAGAAAAACATCAGAAATATGTTTTCTCTTGTGAGTCTCTTTCTTCTGATTTATCCATTTAAGAATAGGTTACTTAAATACTAATTAAATTTTAACATTTGTTTTGTGATTATAGAAAGCAGAAAAAAAAGATGATATTGTTTTGGATGATGTAGGGAGTGGAAGGCACATTCCAATTAAGCAGGTCTTTATTTTCATCTAAAGAACTGTTCTAATGTTTTAATTGTTTTAAATTTTGTTTTTGTTACTTGCTCATTTGAAAAAAGTTAAAACTGGCATAAAATAATATCTGGAAAGTTATATGACAGTTAACTTTTAATGTTTTTTATTAATCTAGGGTTACATTTATAAAAAGAGCCAGGGGGGGTTGAAAGGTAGCATCAAAGAGTGGAAGAAGAAGTATGTGGTTATCACTACTGAACAAATATTTTCTTATTATCCATCTATGAAG